ACGTGGAGGCTCCAAATGTATTGTCTGTGGCCATTTGCCTTGGCCAGGAACTTGATTTATTTGCCATGTCACCACATCCTTGATAATAATCATAATAACCAACCTCTGAGAAAGAGATAGAAATGCCCAGCCATATCAAAAAGGAAAACACAGAAAAAACAGGTCAAAGCGATAAAGCATGGAGCTATTACCCAGAGCCTTCAAAGCAAGTACAGTTATGGTACTCATAGCAAAGACTGTAATGGTAACAGAAAACAGCACCAAATGAATCCATCAATTAACAAAGATCACGCTAAAACAAAAACTAAAAAAGACATTAGCCTATTGAGTCTGTCACGTATAAGCACAAGCCTGGATTATGATTCCTGGGCAATCAATAAACCCCACAAGAAAGTTTCACCAGGCTGGGAATGGTGAGAATTATTTTAAAGCAAAACTAACAGGTTAAATTTTCCCACAAACCATTTATTTTCATAAAATTGAAGCCAGTCTAAACCTATACCCCACAGAAATGTTTCCAAGTTAGAAATTAAAACAAATCGATCTCTCCAGAAAGCAGTGCATGAAAAGTCTTTTGTGTCCCAGCAACACTGTATCATTCTGTGAGATGAACTGAAAAAGGAGTTAAAATAAATCCGATTAATATATTTGCATGTGTAAACAATGGCAAAAGAGAATACAGTAAACCTAAGTGATGAAAAATGTTTTCATAATTTAAGGTGTTTCAACAAGCACTGTTACTGGTAACAACAGGCATAATTCACATCTTTTTTTTCCCCACACATGTGAAACACTTACAACTACTAATTTAGTCAATGCTGTGACCTGTTGACCCAAAGCTATCATATTTCATTATCCACAAATTGGAGACAGTTTGACTCTGTAGCAGGAGACACCTGCATCACCCACACCGCCGCCATCCAGCCACCACCGAGGGCAGGGCTGGGAGAGTGAGCAAGCAGATGTGGGAGGTGAAAGGAGAAGGACATGGGTAACCCAGACAGGACACGGCAAAAGCAGGGAGGTGGCTTCCTAGGAAGGACTATGGAAAGACACTTCCGGAGTAATAAACTTCAGTCCTGGTCCTTGTTCCCCACCCTTTCCCAAGTTATCACACCCTTTTATCACTTCATAAAGGTGGCAGGAGGCTTCACTAACATCTGTAAAGTGCCTTAAAATTATGTCATGTTATTAAATGTGCGTTGTACATGCCAAAAGGGCTCAAATCCTGCAGCTCTGGCTTGCCCAAATGGTTCAGCTGAAGCCAATGGGAATAATAATATCAGGGTGAGCAGGAAAAAATTCTCTTAAGGAATAACATGGATCAAACCCCAGGGCATTTATTGTGAGAAGAAGGGAAAATGCGTATTTTATTCATTTTATGACAACTATTGCACAAAGCTGCCCTCACTTCCTTACCCCCAAGGGGTTATACCCTTTCTGGGGTAGTGGTCCTTGCCATTTGCATCAGCCGTTTTAGTCCCAAGCTCTGTTCTCATCAAAGTTAAAAGAAATTTCACAGAGGCCTCCCACGGCAGCCTCCCTAGCCTGGCCGGCGTTGTTGACACTTAGTGCAATCAATCTTATTTCCATCACTAAAGTGAGGAACTGGGTAATCTTCTGTGCACATAGTTACCAAAATAAGCATTTATAAATGAATATACAAAGGACTTATTTAAAAGCAACACAAAGAGGACTTGAGAGGGTACTGGACTTTATGACCCCAGTACACAGTTAAAGTGGATGGACAAAGGGGTGGGGGGAGACAGGAAAGAGTTAAAGAGTTGTAAGCATGGACTTTTAAGAAGTCTTTTGGCATGGAAATTAACATGAAAGGGAGACCCGAAAGATTTCTTTTTTGGATGAAAACCTGTCCTGTGTGTGTTTTAAGGCAGGGTTGTGATTCAGTATTTGCCTTAGTCCATCCTGCTGCAGACAGAGATGTTTCCCTCCCTCACCCCTCTTCGTGCCGCTTGCCCTCACCACCTCTCTCGTGCCAAGGTGGCTCTGTGGAATTGATCCAGCTGAAAGCGCCCCATTTTTTCTTGGTTTACTCATCAACCAGCTCAGTTCCCAGACCTGTCTTCCTCCACAGATATTGGTGGCACAAGGTGATGCAGGCAAGGAAGGAGCTAAACTGCAAATAAACAATGAAGGAACAGAAAGGGGGAAGGACTGATCTACAGTAACAGGTGAACTGGTTTACTAGGAATTGCAAGAGATCCCTTCCCACTCAAAAAAAAAAAAAAAAAAAAAACAAGGGGGGGTTTTTTGGA